TGTGTGCCCAGCAGTGTTGTAAGCCATTTACATGAATTAACTCATTTAATCCTCAAAACTACCCTATGAAGTAGGTACTGTTACATTTATTCTATAAACAAGGCAGTTGAAGTTCAGAGAACTTAAAGAAACCAGGATTATGAGAAAGAGGGATCCACTATAAGAAATAATATTGTGAACTACATCTCTGATGACTACAGTGTTGGAGCTGCCTAGTTGGCCTAGGACACACAACTAGTAAATGACAGAGCTGGGATTTGAACCCAGGCAGTCTGGCTCTGGGAGGTTATAACTGCTATAGAGGGACTAAGGGAAGAAGGTCACCTCCATGGGATTTACTTTTCTCCTGTGCTCGCCTGTTTAGTACATCTCAGTGATGTGCCATCAGTGGGCTCTCATGTGTCAACAGATGCCCTGAAGAAAATTGCCTGCCTTGGAGATAAAATGAAGCTTAAAGCCAGGCTGAACCATACCATGGCCCTGACACAAAGCCCCTAATGATGATTACTGAGTTGAAGCACAGATGAAAACATCAAGACTCATCGCTGCTAACTGAGCCTTTGATGCCATAGCTATAGAAAGCCTTCCAAGGGAAGAATATGCTGAATCCTTTTCAGATAACACTACTCCTTTTATAAAAATCCTTCTGGGTCATTCCCCATTTTACAGGTGGGGAAACGGAGACTTAGAGGTAACGTCTTTCTCCTAAGGGGCAAGGGCAGGATTTCATCCCTAGGTCTTAAAACCCAAAATAGTACTTTTCCCACCAAAGGTGGAGAAAAACACGAAGGGGCAAAATTTACCTTAGTATCAGGATGAGTTTTTAAGAATTGAATGGGCTGCATTAGGAGATAAGGAGTTTTCCATGCTGGATGTGTTCAAGCAGAGGTTGAACAAGCTCCTGACAAGTTTGTTGTAAAGGAATTCAAGTATCATATGAGCAGTTGGGCTTAACCTTTTAAATTCCTTTTACTCTGAATTCTCTGTGAATTATGAGAATCTTGATTTTTCTGACAAAGACCTGGAAGGGAGCATAAAGATGGCTCCGGTGTGGCACCCTCATTTATAAGTGAATGTCCGAGCCCAGAGAGACTGGGTTAGTAGAAGCAAGTCTGGAACCCAGGCCTCTCAGTCTAATATGGTTTTCATGACAGGGATCTGTTGTTATGCCTTTTCGGTGGCCAACCACGTACCTCGTCAAAGCCAGAAACTGTCACATTGGACTCTATCCTTACGCCTCATATAAAACCAGCCATCAAGTCCTTTAGATTCTGCTTCCTTAAATGTTTCAATTCTCTTCTTGACTTGGTGTTTCTGTCCTGATGCAGCCTTCATCATCACTCCTAAGGTACGGGATTAGCTTCCTAATGAGCTGCCTGCTTCAAATCTTGCCCCCTCCGGTCTACTCTTCACACAGCTGCCAGAGTAATCTTTCTAAAACCCGGATCGGATCACATCATTCCCCTGCTTTAAACCCCTTTAAGTGGGTCACTTCTGGCCCCAGGATAAAGTCTAAACTCCTATCCTTGAAGGCTCTTTATGCCCCTTGTGTCCTCTCCAGCCTCATACTCCGTGTCCCAAACATTCTCTACTTCTCCAGCTGTAGAGGATTATCTGTAGTTATTCCCGATACTTACCATGCTCTCTCTTGCTTCACACCTTTGCACTTGCTGAGCCCTGGAATGTGCTCTTCAGATTGTCTCCTATGGTTCTTTTCTTTTCATTCTTCAGGACTGAGCCTCATTCTGCAACCTATCTGTGTCTCCTGTGGGCTTGGTGCGTTGCACAGCCTCCTATACATTCTTCAAGCATGGTATTTATTGCAGGTTCACAAATGCCAACCCCTGAAGCACGTAGGCAGGGGAGAAAAAGGGGTCAGGTGGCTTTGTCAATCTAATAAATGCATCCTAGGTAATTTTCATGAATGTATTTTTCAAAATTATGAAAAATAATAATCCTTGTACAAATTTAAAAAGGGGGGGTGGTGTCAAGTGACCTGGAAGAAGATAACAGAGACTTGAAGAATCAGCACATTCTCTGTCAGAAGGCAGTTGCTATTCAGCTCCACTCAGTTGTTCATAGGTATGGGCCTGGTGATGTCAGATTTTCTGATTCTTCCAGAGAAGTCAGAAACCTGCATTTTCATGTGAAAAATAACCACGTTAAAAATTTTGGTAACTAAATAAAGTAAATGTTAAAATTACTCTGAGACAAACAGAACCTGTCTCCAGGTAGATTTGTGCCAGTTTGAAACTTCTGCATCGTTACTGCATATTTACATGTCTGTTTCTTCCAACCAGTCTGTGAATAGCTAGACCGTAAGAATGTCTGTGTTGTATCCCCAGCATAGCTCCCGGCACATACCAGGCAAGGAAAGAAGGAATGAGCCCGTGAATCCAGAGCAAGGTTAGCTGTACCATGACATGCCTGCAAAACCCAGCCCTGAGAGTCAGGTTTCTGAAAGGACTTTATAATTGGCTTTGACATGATTGACCTCAGCAAACAGAATTATGGAGAAGGTACACACCTAGCACTTGGCAGACTGCTCGTCTTAGGAACCGCTCAAGCTAGAAGAAATTTAAGTGTGGGCAGAGTGAGGGCTGTGCAAGCACCTTACAAATTGAATCGAAGGGTTTAATGATTAAGACATGGGACTAAGTATAGTGTCATGGAAAAAGAGCTTCTCTCCAGGCTCTGCAAATTTCCAGCACTGACCATGCAGAACAGATTCAGAAGTAGGGGCTGTCAGCAGGTTCTATACAAAGTTTAATAACCTCACTGTCAGGTACTTCTGTCTCAAAGAAGTTTGTACTAAGTTCTGTTTAATGTAGAGACAACTCACTTAGGAACATTGATTACACCCACACCTAATTCAACACCCACTGGAGCTGTCTCATCTTACATTTGACAAAAAAAATTTTTTTATTGCATCAACCAGAGAAAGTCTAAATTTTATCAAACATCCTTCCTAGCTATATAAGTGTCTGGCTTTATGAGCTGAGGGAACTGAGATCTAGAAACATCCTGTCATCTGACAAATGGCTGGTTGTAGAAAGGGCACTGAGCAAGACCTTCTCAGACCTCTAGGCTGAGTCTCAGGTCTGTGAGGATCTCTCTCCCACGGGCCTCCTAAGGTGGTAGAGAGATCAGGACACAGCATTGGGTTCTAATCCTGCCTTTGCCACTTTCTTGCTGGGTAAGCTTAGAAATTAGATCACTTTCCATTCCAATGGGCTTAGCTCATCTTTTATTGCCAGGCCACATCTTAAGTTGCTGTTCAGTCTACGGATTGGCTGTCCTGAGGTCAGATGCCCAGTGGGGCCAGTCAGGCAACAGGATCATGTGGAGCAAAAATCAGCTTTCTGGGCTGTGGCTTCAACAGGGGCTGGGGTGGAGCAATTTTATTTAGTTATGACCATGATAGACACCATACCTAATAAATAAAGAGTTCCCAAATGTTTGGTGAATAAATGAACCTCTTCTTGTTCTTTAAGACTTGTGTTATGTCCTTAGTGATGTCTTCCTTAATTTTCCTCCCATTCTGGTAGGATAAGTTAGTCCACCCTTTGTGCCACCACTGGACCTTGTAACTAGTATAATGTTAGCACACTGTATCATTACTGTCTTGTTTATTTGTTTCTCTCTCACATAACTCCTGAGAGCAAGAACTATATCTTTCCTGTACCCCTAGGATCCAGCAATAATTGGTCATAAGAATATTAGTAAGAGACTCTCAGTAAATGAATATAAAAGAGAAGTACTGAATAAATGTGAGAATAGAGTAGATAATTCCTTTGGGCTCCAACATTCTATGAATCTGTGAAATTATGAGCTGATATATTAAAAACCATAAAAGGAAACCAGTTAGCTTTACACAGCAGCCCCATTAGGAGAAAGATACTGACAATGGTTTCAGTTTATTGAGTCCTTACTACATGCCAATGTGCCAAGACTTTCTATGAATTACCCAACTTAACACCTATGATAACTCCAGGTACTAATATGATCCCTATCTGACAAATGAGAACAGTGAAACTCTGAGAGATTAAATAAATGCCCAACCAGTGAGTGGCCGTGAAAGCCACGGTTCAAAGTCAAGGCTATCTGACACCAAAGCTGATACTCATAACTCTTTAAAGAGGGGGAAAAATGAAAAATAAGGTAATGCTGATTACTATTATAATTCTGTCAGTCTATTCTAAGGCTTCACAAAGGCCACCTGGTATTTAATAGAGCAAAGGCTATCCATGCCAGTAGGGACCATTAAAAGGCATTTAGTCCAGCCCCATCATTTTATAGTGAGGGAATCTGAGGCAGAGAGAACTGTCTGGCAAGGCTCAGGTTTAGTTAGTAGAACAGCCTGCCTAGAACCCTAGTATCAAGGCATAGCTCCTTTTACTGTTATTGATGTGTGGCCTCAGTTCATTCAGGGCTCTGCTCATATGTCATTGCACAAAGATACTTTCCCTGACCACATATCTGAAATAGCCCCTATCACTCTTTTTCTTATCTTGCTTTATTTTTTTTCATATCATTCTACTTATATTATGTATTTGTTTACTTGTTTATTTTGCCCACTAGAATATAAGCTTCATGAGCACAAGACTTTTATTGCTGTTTCTCTGGAGCCTATAGCAGTGCCTGGCATATAAGGTACTTAATAAAAATTGGTTGAATTGATGACTAAACATTCCAAAGCATCAATTGCAATGTGATTTTAATGCACTGAAACTTTTCTTTGGCTTTCAAACTTCAAGTCAGAAGGCTTTCTTTATTTTTGCCTTTATTTTCGCTTACTTATGGCCTAACATTTGCCACAATATTAAACTTTGGTAAACTTCTGTCTCCTCCCCTGATTTTCAGCCCCCACCCCCCAGGACAAGGACCTTCCCTAAGTCATCCATGCACCCCAAAGCCTAGCACAGGACCTGGCACGAGCAGCTGTTCAAAAATGCTTGGGGGGGGCTGGAGTGGACAGAGGTAAGAGTGACAGTCACAGGCATCATTGCTTAGTGATTTATTCTCTTAAGGCTCCATCAGCAGGTGGAATGGAAGACCCCTCCCACCCTGATGCCTTGGGTAACCAAGGCATTATACTCCTTCACTGCCTTCTCTGTCTGGAGGACCCGCACATCAATGCCTTTTTTCTTGAGGTATTCCACAGTTGATGGGGGTACCTGGGAAGAAGGAAAAAGATGAGTAAATCAGGGGGAAAGGCCCCCAGGGTTTCTTTCCCTGCTATGAGGCAAGTATATTCTACAGAACTGGACAGTGACAACCATCACTCCTCAATCACCCAGCGTGTCACCAGCCCAGAATTTGGCAGTGAGTCCCAAGGAGTCAAAAAGCCTTCTAAGAAGTTAACAGAAGTACCATGAAACATGTGCAGACAGCTCAGGTGATATGGAAACTGGAAAGAGCATGGATTTTGGAGTCAGTCTTGAATTTAAGTCCTTACTAGCATTGTGACTTTGGGTAAGTGAATTAAATTCTCTGAGCCTTTGTTTCCATGTATGTAAATAGGGATAACAATACCTGCTTACAGGGTTGGTATGAGAATGAATTCAGCTAAGGCATGTAAAACGTTAAATGTTTGAGTCAGTCCAACCTGACTGATTCAAATCCAGATAAATGTTAAATGTTTGAGTCAGTCCAACCTGAGTCTAAATTCTAACTTTGCTATGTACTAACCAAGAGACCTTTGAAAGTCTTTCAACTGCAATTTCCTCCCCTATAAAACGGGGACAATAATACTTAAAATCAAAGGGTTGGTGTGAGGATGAAATTTTATGAATGTATGTACACTGCAGCTCAAACGTCTTCTCAGAAAGGCCTTTCTTGATCACCCCATTTAGAGCAGCCCCTCATAAGTCACCATTTTCTTCACAGCACTTACTATGATCTGAAATTGTCTACATTTTTATTATCCATGAGGGCCATGAACCTTGCCTTGTTTAGCTTGTTGTCCCTGGTACCTAGAATAGTGTCTGCCCCATAGAAGGTGCTGAATAAATATTTGTAAATGAATTTATATAAAAGATTCTCAAGAGTGGCAGCTATTGGATATTTTCTCAACTCTGGCTTGCCTTCAATATTATTTTAAATAGATTTTAATTAGACTCTGCCTTGTCCGAAGGAGCTCTGAGTGAAATGTTTTTTTAAAATGTCCTACATTACTTTTTTATATGTTTGAACAATTTTATAATAACAGTAGTCTTACAGATAGGGATCATTTTAATGGAGGAAAAAACTAGGTTAAACTAAAAAATATAAAGGGCACCTCCATTGGTAGGGAACTGGATTTTACGACATCTTTATAAAGGACAGAATGAGGTAGATCTCTATAAACTTATGTGAAAGGCTGTCCACAATGCAATAATGTAAGTGAATAAAAAGTTACAGAACAATATGTATAGAGCGATCCTATTTATGTAAAAACATGTATATCAGTATGTGTAAGTGTGTATATATTTGCAGATGCATAGAGAGAGCATTGGAGCAGTTACGATTGGGAAGGGGAAATCTTTCACCTTTTTAATTCTACATTTCCGCATTGACTCTTTTACAACAAGCATGTACTATTTCTGTAAGTACAATAAAAATAAACTTTCTTTTTCTGAAAGGGGAAAAAGGCTTAACTTGAATGTGCCCAAGAAAAGAAAAATTAAAAGTACTGTAAAAATGGAAAGTACTGTAAAAATCTAAAGAGCCAAATATTGATAGCTGTAGAGCTTAAAAGAAATTCCAGGATTGAGGAATTTCTGAAAAATAGTTGAAACAGCACAGGCCTATGATTAGAGACTGGAGAGTCCAACCCTGATGAGGTAGAATAGTGCACAGCCACTATTTTATCCTGGGCCATCCCCTGGCTCAGCAAAATGAGGGTGCATGATACATAGAGATGAACTTCCAAGAAGGACATATCTCTAAGGTAAAGATCCAGGAGATTACCAGAAGTCCTCAGGAATGCTGTGCTCACCAATACCTACCTTCAAGGCCTCACTCATCCCTCGGCCAATGACAAGGATCTGCACACCCTTCTCGACAACTTCCTCCACATCTGCAGGCTGCACACCAGGAGAATGCTGGACATGGAAAGAGAAAGTATACCAGCCACCTGCTCTTTTCATCTTTCTTTGCGGTCACCATTCCTGTTAGAGTCATTCATTCACCGAACAAATGTTTACTGAGGTTTACTCTAGGCCAAGCCTCACTAGGGCCCTGGGAATAGCAGAAGATACAGTACTGCCCTTATGGAGCTCTAAGTCTAGTGAAAAATATAGAAGACTACAAAGAAATTTCAGTAGTTTTACAAGTGCTACAAAGAAGTAATGTTCAGGGTGTAGTGAGAACATACAGAAAGGGCACCTAATTCAGACCTGGGGAGTCAGGGCAGGGGGTCAGGGAAGACACCCCAGAGGATGTGACATTTAAGCTGAGACCTAAAGGACAAACAGGAATTAGCCAGGTTAAAGGAAATCAGGGGAACAAGGCATACCAAATACAGGGAATAGCATGAACTAAGGCTCAGAGGAAAGAGCAATCTAGTGAACTACAATTGGTTCCATATGACTGAAGTGTAAGTGACAAGTGAGTGGAAAGAGATGAAGCGGGAGAAGAAAGCACCTGCACACCATGCCAAAACTTGGAAAGCTCCATACTGTTTCCTTTTTCTGATCCCCTTTCCCACTTAACTCCAGGAAAACTTTGATGCTTTAAAACCTATCAGTCTGTAAAGTCTTCCCAGATTCTCCCAGGGATATTTAAGGTAAGGTGTTTAATGAACATTAATCCAACGTTAAAGGATGGTGGCTTCTGAACTGCTTCCACATCAGCAAAGGGGATACAGGAGTTAGAGTTTGGTAAATACCAGCCCAACTACTGGGGAGTGAGTAAGAGTGGAAAATTGTCATGGAAGACATGCTGTTTTAATTGCGTCCTGAAGTATGACTAGGAGTATGCCTTGATGCAGTGGTTGTAGAAGGGGTACATTCTAATCATAGTTAGACATGGTTTAGGGAAAGAGCTGCTGAATATACCAAGACAACAACAAATGTACCAAAGAAAGAAGGGTTTTTCAGTCTAAAAAGCTGATGGTTTAGAGAAGATAGGATTGAAATTTGTTATAAAAGGTAGAAGAACAAATATGAGTATTTTTATTAAATCCTGGAATAATAATATCTTACATGTTTAAAGTTGCAGTTTTCATAATACAGCTATAGAAATTATTCCATGTGATCTGCATTAATAGTAGCACAAAAGCATCCATTCTCCTTGTTTTATAGATAAAGAAACTGAAGCTCACAAAATACACATTAGCCAAGATGACACAATTACTAAGTAGCACAGTTGGGATTTGAACAGAAACATGTTAACCTTTGTTTAATGCACTTTATTAGAATACTGTAACCTAGGGAGCAACGTTGAAACTTGAAAGAACTAGCCCTAATGACCACAGAGTTGTGCTTAAGCCCAGTGCCCGGCCCACTGTAGGCACACAATAACTGTTACTTTAGGTGTAACCTGAATCTTCCCTAAGGCAATTGCCTGTCACCCACACACACACATGAGCTAAAAAAACAATAAAGGAGACAGACTGAAGTATTAAAAAATACTTGATTAACCCCCCTAAAAAGGCAGGAATAAAAAACATGAGGACAAACAGAAAACAAATAGCACTATGTTAACACTTAAACATAACTGTAGCAGTAATTAACTTTAAGTGGACTAAGTAGTTTAATGAAAGGCAGAGACTGAGTTAAAAAGCAAGACCCAACTAAACACTACTTACAACGTATATACTTGAAATATAAAGGCATAAGTTGAAAGTAAAAGGATAAAGAAAGATACAAAATGCAAACACTAAGAAAGCTGATGTGGTTATATTAATATCAAGATAGGAAGTATTACTACAGATAAAGAGTTTCATCTCATGATACTTAAAGGACCAATTCATTAAGAAAAACATAACAACCCAAATCTGTACACTCTTAGTGAAAGAGCTACAAAATATATGAAAACAAAAATAACATGTCTGGGACTTCCCTGGTGGTCCAGCCGCTAAGAAAACGCCTTCCAATGCAGAGGATGCAGGTTTGATCCCTGGTCTGGGAACTAAGATCCCACATGCGGCAGGGCAAATAAGCCCACGTGCCACAACTACTCAGCCCGTGTACCACAACTAAAGAGCCCCTGTGCCACAACTACGGAGCCCATGCACTCTGGAGCCACAACTAGAGAGGAGCCCACATGCCACAACTAGAGAGAAGCCCACACGCTACAAGGAAAGATCCTGCATGCTGCAGCTAAGACCCAACACAGCCATAAATAAATAAATAAATAAATATTTAAAAAAACCCAAAAATAACAGAACTAAGAAAAGAGACAAAACCACTATAGTTGGATTTTTTTAACATCTTTATTGGAGTATAATTGCTTTACAATGGTGTGTTAGTTTCTGCTTTATAACAAAGTGAATCAGCTATACATATACATGTATCCCCATATCTCCTCCCTCTTGCATCTGCCTCCCACCCTTCCTATCCCACCCACCTAGGAGGTCACAAAGCACCGAGCTCATCTCCCTGTGCTATGCGGCTGCTTCCCACTAGCTATCTGTTTCACATTTGGTAGTGTATATATGTCCATGCCACTCTCTCACTTCATCCCAGCTTACCCTTCCCACTCCCCACGTCCTCAAGTCCATTCTCTATGTCTGCGTCTTTATTCCTGCCCTGCCCCAGGTTCTTCAGAACGATTTTTTTGTTTTTTTAGATTCCATATATATGTGTTAGCATACGGTATTTGTTTTCCTCTTTCTGACTTACTTCACTCTGCATGACATACTCTAGGTCCATCCAGCTCTATGGTTGGAAATTTTAACAACCTTCTCTCAGTAAATGATAAAACACATAGACAAAGAGTCTAATTAAGGAAATGGGAGCTTTTAGCAACACTGTCAGTTAATTTGACCTAATAGACATTTATAGGTTACTACACCCAACAACTGCAGAATACACATTGTTTTTTCAAGTGTACATGGAACAGTCACTAAGACCTTATGCTGACATAAGTCTCAGTAAATTTCAAAGAAATGAAATAACAGAGAATATGATATCTGACAAAATAGATTTGTTGATAACAATAAGATATTTAGAAAAGCCATAAATAATTGGAAATTGAGCAACAAAGTATTTTGAACTAAAGGGTAAAGGAAAAATACATCAAAATTTGTGGAATACAGCTATATAATGCTTATAGGCAAATTTATCACTTTAAATACTTAAAATAGAAAAATAATTGTCTAAAATCAATGGTGTAAGCCCCCACCTTAAAAAGCTAGAAGAGAAGCAAATCATATTCAAAGCAAGCAGAAGACAGATAATAATGAATATATGTATGTAAATCAATGAAATGGGAAACAAATGACAGAGAAAAATCAACAAGGCCAAAAGTTGGTTCTTTCAAAAGATTAATAGAATTGAAACCATTGTAAGACTGATCAGGAAAAAAAGAGAAGACACAATTCATAAATACCAGGAATGAAGGGGACATTACTATAGATCATACAGATAGCAGAAGAATAATTTTAAAAATTGGGAGTAAATTTACACTAATAAATGTGACAACTTAGAAGAAATGGACAGATTTTTTTGAAACACACAACTTATTAAAATACAAGAAGCAGAAAATCTGAATAGTCCTATAGATGTTAGAAATTGAATTTATAATTTAAAACCCTTCCACAGAAAAAATTCTAGACACATATGATTTCAGTGTTGAATTCTATTTTAAACATTTAATGAAAATCCTCAACAAAACATTAGCAAATCCAAGGTTGGTTCAATATTTTAAAAATCAATGTAGTTCACCACAAAGTAAAGAAGAAAAATTACACAGTTGTGTCAAATGATGCAGAAAAAGCATTTAATGAAGTTCACCATGTATTTATGATTAAAAAAAAAGAAAACTCTCAGAAAACTAAACTAGAATAGCCAAGATATGGAAGCAACCTAAATGTCCATCGAGAGATGAATGGATAAAGAAGATGTGGTACACACACTTATGGCCACCTAATCTATGACAAAGGAGGCAAGAATATACAATGGAAAAAAGATAGTCGCTTCAATAAGTGGTGCTGGGAAAACTGGACAGCTACATGTAAAAAAATGAAATTAGAACACTCCCTAACACCATACACAAAAATAAACTCAAAATGGATTAAGGACCGGACACTATAAAAACCCTCAGAGGAAAACATAGGCACACCACTCTTTGACATAAATAACAGCAAGATCTTTTTTGATTCACCTCCTAGAGTAATGAAAATAAAAACAAAAATAAACAAATGGGATCTAATTAAAAGCTTTTGCGCAGCAAAGGAAACCATAAACAAAATGAAAAGACAGTCCTCAGAATCGAAGAAAATATTTGCAAATGAAGCAACTGACAAGGGATTAATCTCCAAAATATACAAACAGCTCATGCAGCTCAAAATAGAAAAAAACCAATCCAATCAAAAAATGGGTGAAGACCTAAATAGACATTTCTCCAAAGAAGACATACAGATGGCCTACAGACACATGAAAAATGCTCAACATCACTAATTATTAGAGAAATGCAAATCAAAACCACAATGAGGTGTCACCTCACACCGGTCAGAATGGCCATCATCAAAAATTCTACAAACAGGGCTTCCCTGGTGGTGCAGTGGTTGAGAGTCCGCCTGCCAATGCAGGGGACACGGGTTCGTGCCCCGGTCCGGGAAGATCCCACATGCCGCGGAGCGGCTGGGCCCGTGAACCATGGCCTCTGAGCCTGCATGTCCGGAGCCTGTGCTCTGCAACGGGAGAGGCCACAACAGTGAGAGGCCCGTGTACCGAAAAAAAAAAAAAAAAAAAGTTCTACAAACAAAAAATGCTGGAGAGGGTGTAGAGAAAAGGGGACCCTTGTACACTGCTGGTGGGAATGTAAATTGGTACTGCCCCAATGGAGAACAGTATGGAGGTTCCTTAAAAAACTAAAAATAGAGCTACCATATAACCCAGCAATCCCACTCCTAGGCATGTATCTGGAGAAAACCATA